GAACGGATTGATGAATATAGTATTCTAATTTTAATCTAAAAAATAAACGTAGTATAGAAAATATTTAGATTTTCAAGTTTCATTAAAAATTTAAGTTACTTTTTACAATGTTATCATAGAAAGATTCAAAAGATCTTAATGCGCGTTCGACATAGTTTTGGTCGGCTTTTTATTGATAAATAATTTTTATGGGAATACGTCGGATGCAGTATGAATTTGCAAATTCCAAGGTTATCTGGTACTTTCGTCTGTCGACAAAATACTTCTGGAATTTAACCTTAGCCTGAAAAAGTCGGTAACCTACTTCTTTTTCGTATTACACTCTGATTATATCGATCTATGTATGTACAGGTTTTAACAAAAGTAAAGGCACACCTCTTCAACGTTAGAAATGGCAGGTTAACGAATGAGTTGGTGCCTACAGCTAGTTTAAAATCTCATGTGCCTTCACAAATACGAAAGTTGGACCTAATTGTATTCAGATTGTTCTTTTCTAAAATATTAACTCCGCTGTTAATCATTTATCTTGCTGTACGAAAAGGAATGAAGTTGTATATCCCAATGCCTTTTAGAGGTAGCAATGTAGAAATCAATGTACCGAGGTTCATCCTAAACTACCTCTAATATTCCTTAAATGATGCAATTTGATTAAATTCAGTCATGCTTATTGAGAGCCTGATACAAAGGAGCGGAAGTACATTCATTATGTGATTGATATACATAATTTTCTTTCTATTGAAAACTAAATGCGGCTAATAAATAAACGATAAACTAAGCGATTTAATTATATGTGTAAACGGCAACTGTTTCACCGATTTTTGAGTGCAAATATGATCCTTTTGGCTTGTTATTGTACCATGTATAATACTTCACAGTAATTATTCAACGAAAGTAACAAAAAATTAGTTATCTTAAATCTTTCCTGTAGTATTTTTATAAATTAAAAACGACTTATCTACTAGGGATGAACTTTTTCCTATTTTAACTTTCACCAATCACAGATTGGCCTTGAAAAAGCCCTAGCACCATAAAACAAAACGTTGATGTTATTATTCAAGTTAAAATAAAAAAAAACCTTCACCCATGTTGTTTCTGCTTTGGAATATGTAACAAGATACTGATAATGTCTCTTCGCTATTCTCATTTCTTATGCATATACTTCCTTCTTAGAGCAAAACAAAGGGGTTCAATTAAACTTTGTAACTAAAGTGTGTGCAAAAGAACTTTTTGTTAACCATTGCAAAAATTTTTAACAACATAAATTTGGGGCTTACCCTGATCTAACGTCTTCGCGAAAATGACGGAAGGTCCCAAAAATCTCAAATTTTTGGTTTATGGTAAAGCCATTCAAACATACTGAAAATTAAAGTTTTTTATCGTAATGTTAAATGTCTTTATGTGTGTACGTAATCGTGCACATAGACGGGGGTATACACGTATGTCAATGTGAACAGGTGTTATATGAGAAACTACACCACAATGGCAGTTAGACACACAGAGAAAACTAAATTTTTATGACAATGCAAAAATTTCAATTTTCAAATGTAAATGACTGAATTTTGACATGTTTTTTTAAAAATTATTTCAGGTTCCTTAATTATGACAACTAAATGTGTAATATCAACTAAAATATCTAGTAAATTTATTTCTGCTAGGATTTTATTTTTACAAATTCG